ATGAAAACAAGTATGCAAATAATAGTCTCGCTACCTTAAATGTAGTTTAATTAATAATAGCCCTGGACCTGGATTTGACCTTAATTGCCAAATACTGATTATAATTGATTCAACATATGATAAGATACAACTAAATGCAAGTACATAAATAAATTATTTCTCAACTATATTTATGCATTATGTTTTGAATATCGAAATTGGTTGCCAAAATACACGACGTTGTTATGTCCAGTCTATGTACAAAGTTCACATACAAAAACTTACAGAGCTATATACACAAAACTGTATTTTAAATAGTTAATCAATACATGAGCTCAAAAGATATACTCATAATAATTGCAATTGGGTTTTTTGCTGGTATACTAGGACGGTGATATTAATTGTTGGCTGCCATAATAAATGTGGATATTCACATATATCCTTGAAGTGATCTTGGTCATCTTATAACACTACATGGTGTCAGAATTCAGCATGCCCACGAGATCTCATCCTGCATGAAAATACTATGTGTATAAAACCCTGTTATATTCATTGGAGACCACTTTCTTTGACACATATCAACACGCTCCACACAGAGGGCGCTCGTTTCCAGCATGATTCACGCTGTCACAAGCGTTAAACATGCTGGGAGCGAGCGCCTTCTGTGTGGAGAGTGACATACCAAGTAACCGGCAAAGATATCATTATATCAGCACTTTATCCAGAGCGCCAGCGCCTTTATTCTATATACAATACGATATTGTGAGACAAGTGATACAGGCTACAACCATCATTCTCTGAAACTTGTATGAACTGCTCTGCGATCTCTTGCTTTCAGCGGTGCCCTCCAGAATAACAGCGTTCCTCTGCAAGCAAGACTCCTAGATTTATTCGTGTATGTGTACATTTCCTTTCCAGTACTATCGTCTTGTCTCTCCCATTGCAGCAGTGAAAAAAACCTGTCCAGCGTGAGTTCTGTGAGTGCTCCTCTTAAGGTAGCGAGACTATTATTTGTGTTGAAAATTACGATTTTCACATTTATTTATTAATTGATGAAATGCACTATAAACTTTCATATGATAAAGTCAACATAACATAGAATGTCATGTAAGTTGGTTAAAATGTATATTTTCTGAAGCCTCAGTAGTGTTTTCCAAAATCAACAACACAGGTTTAATCTGTGTGCCTATAAGTTTCAATGATAAACTCAAGACAAAGCAATGTTAGGATGTGTTATCAGTTGCTATCTGACACACAATGAGTGTTTCCAAACATTTGAGTGGTTTGTCTCCGCCCCAGGTGTTTGTTTCACAGATTAGTCATTGATGGGAAAACAAATTGATTGTGCCGATAAACAAGCTTGAAAATATTTGCTGTTACTTCGTGGACGTTTTCTAGGAGTTTATGTTTTTCAAAATACAAGGTCTTTAACAAAAAATAACGTATACCTATTGTCGTCGGATTAACACCAAATTTTCACAGTTTTAAGGTGACAATGAGAGGAACTTGAATGTGTCCAGACAAACTATTTCATCGACGAGTTGTGGTTTGAGTTGGGGGCAATGTGACTAAAACAGTAATTGAAATTCAGCACACTATTTTTTAAAACGCGTTGCTTGAATAAAACTGACCAGACACATTCAATTTACCAGACTATTGAACAACTAGAAAAAGTGAAAAAAATACTTCTTATCGCCAGCATAAATGCGTAATTATTTTTTTTTACAGAAAAAGTAATTTTTCACCTTTGATTGAGTAACGCGTCGTAGAATGCAGATACGGGCATGCAAAATACACTTGTGAAAAGCTTGAAGTCTGGCGATTCTAAAAATATATACTTTCCCGGGTCTATTTGTAGTCATTTAGTCACAATTAGAAGATGAAAACAAGTATGCAAATAATAGTCCCGCTACCTTAATATTAATAAGCAGGCATTACACTGTTACACAGAGGCCATTGTGCCAATAAATGAGATAACTGAGGTTGAATCACATGCTCTGTACAGAATAAATTGTGTAAATATAAATGATCAGATAGAAAATTTACTATCAGGCTGAAACATGTTATGTGAATGCCACCATGGCTTTGCTAAATCCTAAAAAAAGAACATCAAACTAATGGTTTTTGTCACGGTTTAGGTGGGAGTTTAATAAACATAAAACAAAAGTTACGAGGACTGTACAAAAATTGCAGACAATTTAAAATAAAACGACGGTATCTGACGTATTCATGCTTATGTCTTGGGGTTTATAGAGCTGATTTCGGAAATAGCACTTTGAATGTATTCTTTTGATCTTCGTTTATTAATAACAGTAGCAATCCTTTCCAGGGCTGACAAGTGAATGGATAAATATATATGTTAGATTGCAAGAATGAATTAATATGACGTCACCAGTTATAGACTACAATGTACACACTGTCTGCTTACTCTGTTCACGGGGCTAAATATCTCAGTATAAACCTAAATCAAACAACGCATAGAAAGAATTCGTGTGTACTGAGGGTATTGGAGGCATGAATACAAATACTGAATTCACTATATTAGAAACACATATTCAATACACAAAAAGCAAATATTGCAGTTATTGCATGAAAAAATCATTCAAATATGTCATATTTTGACCACAGACTTTTGTCATTTATATTTAAAGTAGATACATACTCTAGCCCCAAACATTAGATACCGTTTGATTTTGATAACTTTTGTCGTACTTACATTTACGACTCCTTTCAACTTGTAAATAAATTACAGCGAGTTTCACCGAATTTGCTGTTCCTTGCTGTCATAGCAGTGCTGCCCAGAATTAGCTTAGGAGCATCGTCTGCACTGATAGGATTCCATATTCATAGATTGTAATTTTTGACATACCTTGATCTATTTCATCTTTAGATACAGAAAATATTATCCTGAACCACCCTGGTTCACAGCAAAATAATCCCTCTCCGGGAAGCAAATAAACCTTGTTGTCCAAAAACTCGTTATACAAGTTAAATTCGCCTTCAAATGTTGATGGGTTTATAAACTGTAAACAAAACAATATTTACGGAAAAATGATAAATTATCAGGAATCATTATAAGCACTCGAGCTTCATGCAACTTTTGGATTCTGCATACAAAAGATTCAGCCTATCACAACGCATATAATTTAGCCAATCAGATCTCTTCCCTATTGACCTATTACAAACATGTAATATATCCTCTTCCCACCTAAATTCAAGAATGCACCATTCCCCTATAAATTGAGAATTTGTCCTTGTACTTGTCAGATGCTGTTTTATGTTAGTGTAATAAACCTCGTTACTTCCTCAAGCCACTGTTATCTCGCCTCCGTTATCTCTATCACCCGAATCTCTTCTATACAATTCTACACATAAATATATTTTATTTATGCTATCAGATTTCTGAAATAATTAACAAGAGAATAATGAATAAGAGTTTATGTAATGTACATGTGCACAAAAGAAAGAACTGTCAATCTAAACTAAGATGTGTTATCCCCTCGAATACGACCTTATCAGATTTATATATGGTGTATTATATATGACATATTTGAAATTGTAAATATACCTGTCGAAAGTCTGCCCATACAAAGAGGCCGGAAGGTTTTTCAAGAATCTTTATTCCAATGTCTTTCAATCCTTTACACATATAGGAGTGAAATTCCTTTAGTCGTTGATGATTCAATTTTATATAGATTTGCGTCACCCACTCTATGAAAAATCATAACACAGTCATTGCATATATATACCAGAGCAAAACCAAACTCAAGTTCTATTAAAGCTATGTATTATCCACCCTACTTTGTGGCTCTTTGCAAATACAACCCCAAAAAACAGGAATGTATAACATTCCTTGCTACCTATATGCCAGGAAACAAATTTTGCATAATCGCTGTTTATAATTAGTTACGTCACTATGCGTTATCAAGAGGGCAGTTGGAAAACTTGACATGATTATGAAAAACTCTCGATAAATCGAGTTGTAACAGTAACGAAACAGCGACCGATGTCCTGTTTTTATGTCGATGTTCCAAATAACTGATTTTGAAGTAAGTTGCTAAACACGAAATAATCGCCCCCAAAGTGAGAATTCACAATTGTCTCGTTTTCTCAGTGATTGTTTCCGGAGCACATCGATGTTAATGATCGAAAATAACGTCGTTCCGGTCGTCGCCACTAAGTTGTGGTACGGACGCACAGATTCTATTATTTCCGTATTTTAATTTTCACTGAATCATGCGGCACTTTTTCACTGTTGTTGCACAAAAACGGACTGCATACGTATACAATCGCAAAATTTTGGAAACATGAACCATTTGTTCAGGAAAAATAAATAAAACGAAGGGAAAATAGAAGTACAGGATCGAATTGCATGACCTTTTTACCACGATAACGTGATTTTCGGGGTCAATGTCATCATAGCGGTGCCACCATTTTCAATTTTATCCACGTTACAAATTTACTAATCTTATTGATTTTGGAGGTCATGTGGCCATATAACAAATACAATATTGAAAAACAAATATTAATCGAAACTTTAAAGCAGGGTCTTTCTAAATATACATAGGTTTGGTGATTTTACGTACGCCCTTCTTTCAATTTGTAGGTCAGTATTTCCCTTGCCAATAAACTCGCTACCTCAACTAACTAATATTCTGTGTTTACGTTTGAGTAATACATATCTGATTAGTACATGGACGATATGTTATAAAATGTTTCTCACCTTTGTCCAATATCATTTCATTGAGTAATGACTGGAGATACGTTGGTACACTGTGAAATTCTGCAATTGTCTTTAATGACGAGGCAACTTGATCATTCCAACTGTAAATACATGCACATCTCAGTCCAGACATACAGAAATCCTGGTAAATATACATGAATATTTATACCACCCAAAACAATCAACAGTACATAATTTTACAACAAACAATGTAAAAATCTAACCTTAGAAAAACCCCATATCATATGTGTACGGTCAGGGTCTGGTAAATGCTCCAAGGCCATCACGCTAGTGAAATGAACATCTTCTTTAAACACAGACAGCATATAGATTTCATCCATAATTACATGTAATTTGTGACTGCAATAAATACAACAGATTACTGGTAATTAGAATTAATATTAAATAAGTACATTTCAATTTTATAAACAGCCGTCTTCAATATACGTTTGAATATTCTGATGCTGTTTTTTAATTTTAATGTTATTTAATAGATCCGTACCTTTTTGCGAATATTAGGCAATCCATAACCAGATCTTTTGAATACACATCACCCAATGGGTTGTTAGGATTTATAAGAAATATACCTCGGACAATAAAACCCTGGAAATAATGTTACGTGTTGACGGGTCAATAACCTACGAGTATATTTGTATTCACATAATGATGAAGGACAACATTATACAGTTATTATACGTACTGTGTGTTACAGTTGTCATATGAGTAATGTATTGCAAAACTCAATCAAGTAGATAATGATACTCACCTGTTTCTTGGCTTTGAGAAGTCCCTCTTCTAATGTATTTACTGTAAGTTGAAACGGCTGTATTCCAATTCCAGACTGAAAAATAAACTTGGAATCCAGCAAATTGTGGCACAAATTATGATGGAAAGTAACAACAAAATATGCTGATGAGAGAGAGACAAATTATATGAAGTATCGTCATAAGAATTATAATGTTACATACAACTTAAATTACCTGACTTGTCAAATCAGCATGAACCAATTCAACCTGCGCCAGTCGTCCACAATCAGGTTCAATGCCAGAATAAAATGGCGTCGGGATTAAAAATGCGTCTGGCTCACAAGAAAGAAAAAAAATATTGTAATTGTTATGTCATTGTAGATGTTATAAATAGTGTGATTTTGAACATCATTTTGTTTAAATAAAACTAAATGAAGATGACGAAATCTTATAAAAATATTGTTTAATCAAATAGGCATGGGTAAAGTGCCTCGAGGCTAATGTTACGTAAAATACGATGTGAAAACTGGGGGTGTACTCGGAGTAGTCCTCATTTCAGTGAAATCGGTCACGCGAAAAGAACCGTATTGTGATACACGAAGCACAGTATTAAGGGAAATGACACATCAAATCATCAGTTAGAGAATGTCAGAAAGAGGCTTAACCTGTCAAGATGCAAGTTGTCAACTTATACAGGAGGTTTGCTTGACGAAAACTGGATTTCAATAGAAAGGGCCCTCTGGATGCCCTGACGCAATCCCGAGGCAATTTTCTCCCACTTGCAAGTGGTTTAAATGTACAACGTCGGTATATAGCGTATATGCTATACCTTCAGTGTCCACATTTTGACGATGACCGTTACAAATTGACATTAATCAGGTAATATAGGCGGGTAGTTGCAGCTATTGCCGCTTGTTATATTACAGTGTTTGTTACATACCTCCTGGATCACACAGCACTGTGGACAACATTGATACTGCAGACCCACCACCATTTACAATTATAAGCTGTTAAATGAGAATGCCAATATTAACCACGATGTATAATAATTTAAACATGGAAAATATCGGCTGGGTTTCAGATCTGATAAATTATTACCAGCTATAATAATTGTCTGATGTATACTCACGTTATCCGGGTTTAGTGGCTTTACTGCACCCCCATACTTTGTTAGGAATGCTGCCAATGTTTCTCTGAATTGTTTGGAACCCGCAGCATCAGCATTTTTCAAAATTTCTACACTTAGACGGAAGGTAGATTGGATCATTGAAAGCTGGAAATATAAATGAAACTTTAATTATACACTTAACATCATTGCCCACAATTATCAGGAAAAAGTCGATTACAAGGTAGTCTGATTCAAATTCAATAAATGATTCAAGTCGAAAACCCTATTATGTACATCGAGTATATCAATATGATTCCATTAAATGCTATCGTGTACGCTTATAGACCCATCCACATAATATACTGCCGTAACTCACCTTTTTTGCTATGACGTCATGTGTTAATGTATTCTCAGCAATTGCAAGACCAACTATTCCCTGTTTCGGGGGAAACATGCATTATTAAAAGGCAATAAATGATATAGTATTTTTGTTTAAACTCAACGATTAGAAACAAGTTACTTGACTCAATTATCAGGTGATAACTTTCTATTTACCTCACGGTTAGTTTCCTTATTATAAGGGTTGAGGGCATGTTGTTTCTTGCCTAACCCCGCAAGACCACGCCTCATGCTCGCTGCTCTTTTAGATATACATTGGTGTTCACGGTGATTTACAACACATAGTGGTGACTGAGTTCCCTTTTCAGGTTCTGATTTTGACATCCTATGACATGAGTTCCCCTAGTTCAGTAGTAAACGACACTAAAATATGTCAGTCAGTTTGAGTCTGAATATTAAACAAATGCATGTTAACTTTAATATATCTCTGGGAGCATGCGTCACCACCACATAATAATGACACTCAGCGGTTTTGAAGGTCACTATGAGGTGACATGTGATGACGCCTAGTAGCACTTGTTTACCCTACTTTAAAACAGCAATTCTGTTTGATATGTGATTTTTATTTCATTAAAACATGAGCATTTTTAAATGGAGTATCCCCATTGTGTATTCAGTGTTAAACACACAAGTCGTGTATGGAAATATAAGTCCAAGCAAACAGTCATGAAAATAATCGACAAGGTCAAAACAAAACAACTGACAAGTACACTTTACTGATCAAATCAGTAAGAAAAAGATGTATGAACTTCATCGAATACATGCAGTGATGCCAAGTGTTTCGTAAGCAGTTATCACATCCTGATCCTTTAAATACACAAAACGATACGCATCTATTGTGCATAGAGAATATTATTATCACTATGGAAATATACATGGTATGCATGTAACAATAAATAATATACAATATATATTTATATGATGATTTAGCTACTAGTTCTGTGCATAGTGAAAATTTACACACATGCAGAAATGCATATGATGTGGTAGTCGAGCGACTTCATCTTGGGTGGATCTAGCAAATCGAAATGACGTACATCAACTTCATGAAATGGTCACGCAATTCAACGAGTGTTACAGAAATCAAGCAACACAGGCCTAATATCCTCCCCAGAACAAGTTAAAATGCCTACTTTTTGCGTTTTTTTAAATGATCAGCAGTCGACCATCTTTGATCAGGTACGCGTGATGTACTGTCTATGTATAAAGTTTTTAATTTCCCAAAGATGTATGATATGGTATGATATGTGTCAGCCATCTTGCGAGTAATGCATTTATTGAAGTCATGTGCATCAACTACCAATATTAGTTAATTCAAGTTTGAAGAAAATCAGACAACAATGCCCCATAATATGATTCTGACACCCAAATGACTAATAGTCTTTTGAAAAGAGGGTTTGAAGAAAATTGTTTGAGATATGTCTGGATAGTATTTTACGTCTAAAATATTCATATTCGCGTATAAACCGGATCGAGAAACGAATAGATGTGCATACGTCTTCAAATATGTATGATGTTAGTATATAAGTTTCAATGTGATCGACGCACACGCGCACATAAAACATGTGTCAATCCATAAGTTTCCGTTTTTGGACTTTGTCCGAACTAACACAAATTCGCCAACAATTACATGTACTATAAATTAGTCACCTACAGTTATGAGAGTCTCAATCACACTCATGAGAAATGAAACTTAATTCATTTGACTCAGGAAATCAGAAATAATGCCATCACTATAAGACAAGGTCCAAGTAATAAATTCTACTTGCGGAATTCTAATTGTTTTAGATACAACTGGGCATTGTATCAATTGAAACGTGTTAAATATTCATAATGAATGCTCTTGGTTTACATATCAGTAAAACAAACTTTTCCAACAGATCCACTGCACTATAAGTCACACACATCTGTACCATCACACATCTATTTCGCACCTATATTTGCACTAAGGAGCCTTCTGTATTTGTTTTTCAAAAGTGTGTTTTGCAATTTGTTATTCGAATGTCAAATTTACCATATAGCATTGCGAAATATAATTCCTAGAGGTGATAAAATAGTGCCAATCTTTGGGGAATATACTAGTAATCACCAACATAAGCACTCGCCCTGTCACTTTATGTGCATATTTTTTTTTATTTCATCCATCCATTTTCTTAGTTATCTAAGAATGGTTATAAGGTAAATTTGGTTTATTGTGACCAAAAAAAAAAAACTCACGGATTATATTGTGTGCTTTGCTCAAGTCAGTAAACATTGTCATAATTGCCATATTTCTGTGTCAAAAATAATATCCACTCAAGAAATACACACGCCCGTGTGCGGGTGATTACACCGCGCGTATATTTCTGAAATGAACATACAACTGGTACAGACACGCTACCTGGGTATGCTGTCAACGCGTGACTGTGTGAGCGCCACCATTCTCGACACCACTTCATCTGACACAGTTGATTTGACTTCCCGTTTTGGACCCACACAGTCGAAGTGCAGTGGCGTGTTTGGAGTTGGGACATGTACATATTGGCATTTGAAGCGTAGAATGTGCTACATAATACAGTACAACTCACCCAATGACCGCCAAATCTGGGGATATTCACGATATGTACATGGAAGACAGAACGATGCCAGCTGATCGCTGACTACGCAATGTACCAGAGAGGGCGCAACACTACGACTGGCGTTCGACTAGCGAATGAACAATGTACATGTATTATTAGAAAGACTCCAGCTTATCTACTTTATAGCGAAATCCTAGTTATATTAGTGAACCTTTCCATTCTTAGAACAACTATTACCCTAGTAGGGTAGTCATAAAGTGATAGATAAGAAAGATCATAAGAAGTATTATAGCAAAAGTTGTTGTTGATAGTAACATATACATGTACTACTAGTATATTTATTCTCACCTTATTTCAATAGAAACTGTGTATTTTGTCGCATTTGTTAATACTATCTGTTATGATGTGCGTTGCGGAAACGAATTATTGGTAGCTCGATAAAGGAAAATCAAGACACGATTCTCTAGCCTACAGAGTTACCAATGTTCTGTAGATTTTTCAAGTCATTCGCGTCAATTGAAGTGTTAAATACAGTGTCAGGTTTGTAAATAACAATCTCAACTGTAATGCTGGCTGTCAGATAATCCCTTAAACCAACATTGGTACGGCATATTATAATTATTATCTAAACCTTCTGATTATATAAAAGGAGCAATGCTTGGAAACTTTCAGAAACACACACCAGACAGTTTCCTTTATTAAATTGTTGCGTTCTTTGTTTCAAGAGCTTTTTTAGCTCCATGATCCAATTTAGTAATAATAATAATCTTTATTGCATTATCGTATCCTTATTTCGATATTGACTCATAAAAAATTACAATAAAGATGAAAAAACTGAGGAAGTAACAAAATGGAAGCGCTACAATTGAAAAGAATTAAAAAAAAAGTAGTTTACTTATTTAGGGGCAGCTGGTCGTTTTTTGAAATGATTTTTTTCTGGTACTGAAACAATTATAGATGTAGCTTGCTAGTTTTGTTAGTTCATGGCTGTTAATGCTTGTTAGCAATATAATCAGTTTATTGGTATTTGCGTTGTTGCAATGTATTACATTTATTTTCTTAGTAAAGATTCATTTTCAAAATTATAATTTACGAACAGCATAACATTGTTACGGGACAACCGAGCATGTCAGTTTTAATTTTTACCAGTCCGGCTGAAAAAATACCCGTCAAGTGAACAACGGGTGGGCAGTAGTATTCCAATGCATAATGTGACACGGTACATCGCTATGACTCGGTGACCTTGACATATACAAGCACGACATCGAAACCTGCAACGTAAGCACATACTGTGAAAATATAGCAGTGCACAGTGCCCGCGGTAATCCGTGTCACGTGGTGCAACACAGTTTTATATACTAGTACGTTGGCTGGACACGTCGGCGGAATTACGTCAGTTGTTCTGACAGTTGCCACAGCTATGGCTTCTATGTTACTCCACGGAGGAATTTAATTGGCTGAGATATGTATGTATTTGTAACATAAGAGACACACAGTATACCCGTATCGTGCCGTTTCACTGTGCCTTCAGGAGAACAACAGTGGCCACGTCGCTGGACCCATTTAGCGTTTGTTAGCGCTACCGGTAGACAGATAATGTAGTAGCCGTCCAGCATGTAACCCGGCAAATACTTGATGCTCAACTTCGTTGCCGGTTTTTACTGCAGTTACCAGTAGGTTTTCATTTCAAGAAATATCCATTTAAACCAACAATACACTGGGCATTTTTTATTCCCACTATTTTGATAGACGCAATAATTGCCGTGAACTACATACAATTGGCGAAGTCTGGACAGTATACAATGGACCATAGATCGAGTGTTCTACACGGTGAGACTCGATGCGCCGGCTTGCAACGGGTCAAATACGTTACCTGGATTTTGAATATAATTAGCGGTGTTCAATATCACAAGGGATAAAGATAGGAATTACAGCAACAGTCGTTTGGCCAAAAGCCAATTAATCAACGGTTGTTCTTGCTATGCGTTGGTCGTTTAGCTCCAGGACCAGAAAATGGATTCTCCCCTGCATGAAAAGACGTATTATGTCAGTGAAACTGCTGTTCATTCTTGTCTGTTTCATTGCATTGATGTCAGTTCTGTATATGATTGCTGTTTCCAATCCGCGTAAAAGAATAGGGAATGCAGCCAAACTAGTAGCACGATACCGAGGTCCAATTTCGGTTGAAGGACGCGCACTGCTGGATGAATCGCCAGGCGATTACGAGGCTAGTCGAGAAAACTCGCTTCTTAAAGACGTAGGGTCGGAGTTTATAAACGTGCACAACCGCAGCGACTATGACGTAGAGTCGAAGTTTTTCGAAACTGTGCTAAATGTAAACACGGTGCCGATTCAGGAAAATACGGAGGATTTTCGTGATATTGCATTTACAATAAACCACCCAAAGAAGTGCATGGATTCTGGGGGTAGAGTCAAAGAAATCGACTTGCTTATATTAGTAGCGACTCGTATTACGAACGAGAATGAGCGAAAGAATATCAGAAAGACGTGGGGTAACGTAAACTTTTATGATGGCTTGAGAGTGGTCATATTATTCCTGGTTGGTAATCCCAAATACACACATCACGAATACTTTCACCGCATCCTTTCCGAGGACGTTAAGCATAATGACATCATAGGGGGCAACTTTGAAGACAGTTACTACAAATTGACATTGAAGACGATCATGGGCTTGAAGTGGGCACATGTACACTGTCCTCTTGCGAAGTTCGTGATGAAATGCGACGACGATATACTGTTACAACCTCATAACATAATGAAATACAACATACCAAAATCTAGAACGTTGATAGGATCATGTGGTAATCGCTCGGTTGTTGATCAACGTCCGGGCTCCTCTGAACCAGACTGGCAGTATGAAGTGTACCCAGCATACTGTTCCGGCACTGCGTACTTAATATCTGGAGATCTTGTTGCTGAACTATATACCACGGCTCTGCAAACCAGTATGTTCAAGTACGAGGACGTTTTTATTGGCATGCTAATGTACAAACTGGGCCTCCCCGTATATCAACACACTGCTTTTCGGTCGTCCATGTTCCCTGACAGTGCTTGCAACATTAGAGATCTCGTTGTATCCCATCATTTTTCAAACATGAAATATGGACCAAACCGGCTAAGCCCGGTGGAATATCGAATGTTGATAGCTAAACTATGGTGGCAATTACGGATGATTCGAAGGGGTTACCAGCGCTGCCCTAGCGATGTAAGTGGATTGGGTGACAAGCCCGGAAAACCTATTTACACAGAGGAAATCCAAATGATCGAAAATCGTCGGAATTTTACAATAAACTGAGAAAAACTAGTTACACACACAGTAGTACACACACAGTAGTCTTTGTTTCCCAAGTTGACTTTGACTATTTGAATCATGTACAAATTAAGGGTGCAATATGAACGAAAATATATATTTTTAATTACTGCTGTTTGACACATTTATATTAGGATTCATCACAAACTACTGCGTGTTAGAGAATTTTCTTCCATCGAACGAATACTGAGATATGTGCTACAATAACAGCATTTTCAGATCATGACAAATTTTAGGCCAATGTAGTTAATATACAGTATCGAAGAACAATATTAAAAATGACATGTTCTCGTCTATATTGCACTTGTGATGTATTTATTGTATTATTACATTAATATAATATACATATTATACATAGTGTAATATATACGTCGCGTTTTACTACAAAGCAAATGCTATATTTATTATGACAGTGAATATTCATATATCTTCCATACTGTAATTGATATGCGATTTTTGACTGTGTTTGGTATTTACAATAAAAGAGTGTGACAGCTTGTATATACATTGTATATATGTTCATAATTCATCCTGGTATGTAATATACAGTTTACAACACGAGTGTCAGTTTTAATAAAGACCATTGTAATTAGTATTACTTTGCTTTCATTTCTCATATGTATGTATGGGCGAGGACACAAGAATGTAAAGGTGAAGATAGTCACTTACAACAGAATAATATGTGTACAACAGAATAATATGCGCTATACACTATCTACTAAATCGAGGACACTGGATTTTCATTATTTACTTCGAATCAATAATAATTAATAGTGTCATTGGCCGCAACGTGACGATCTTACACATGCGGTATAACAATATTTTTATCAAAGATGCAATATCGAAAATAAAAACATTCTCAAAAAAACAATCAAAGTATTCCACGTTGCCTCTTCAACAGTATGACACCGACGTTGATAAATTGTTGTGAAAAGCGAAGGTATAGCACAGTGACTCTTTCTGATGTAGGGACTGTAGTCAGACTAACCGAAACATTCTTTCGAAAATATACCATATGTTTTACGTCGCCATCAAGTGACCTGACTCGCGACAACGTAATTGTGAAAATTCGTGGTATATGAATACTAATTAGGACATTTTGCACGCTTAGAAATAGCTTAAAACGGGGAGGGGGACAATTTGGCGCAATCACACTTTAGACAATAAGTAGTATCCATCTACATTCTTTGTGATTTTCGGAGCGTTCGGTGTCTTAAAATAACAAGAAAACCATATAATATATTTCCGTATACACCGAAAACATCGATTACAAACCGTAGCTCAAAAATGATGTTTACAACCGTTTTTAACGTTTTTTTTTAGTAAATCACTTGAAGCCATGCACAAGTTACATATAAAGTAATAAAACCATAATATTTTGTTTTATTTGCCGTGAAATTGAAAAACGTTTTGAAGTTATATATTTATATATTTAAATGAGGACATAAAGCAACCAATCGCGTCATGCGACCCACCGTCTGCATAATACTCTGTCATTTGTCTTACTATGAGTATGTAATATCAACACAATAGTTGTCACATATCTATCTTGCGTGAAATTATTAATTTCAAATCAGCATAAGTTGAGTAAATTTTTTCACACAAATTATAACTGATTCGCCCATTTAAACAAATCAAAGTAAAAAATAATTCAGTATGTAAAGACATATACAATATATTTGCACAGTTGCCGAACGACTATCAATTATTCTCGTGTAGCTCCTAAGGTAAAGGGAGTAGCAATGGCACTAGGTATTTTACACGTAAGGTACGTCACCTCATATAATTACAGATCTACCAGATTGAATACTACTATTATGTAAATTGTCTCTAATTATGAGGTAGGAGTGATACAGAGTATACTTGTCTGCTCACGTTGTAAACTCTCTACTACCAGGATTTGGTATAACATGGAGCTAAAAATAAACCTCCACGGTAATAACTAATCAACTGATGGACAGAAGAGTATTCCCTGTGAAACCAAATAAACAACATTGGTAGTAAAAAACAACATATCCGTCTGTGTGTTAGGGAATACTTGGTCAAATACTAATATATTAGAAATATGATTTGAAGCTTGGCGTTGTGACAATCCAATGAAGCCAATATGCGAGCTACTACAACGAAGTTAAATGGAAAATTCCAAACAGGGCGCGTGTTCAACTGTCGTCGGATACAATAGGAAGACAAAATACCTGATGTCCGTAAGACAGAAGTTGTATGAGGATTATATCAGAGCCACTGAAATAATACATTAATTGCGTACATGTAATATTAACATTTAAAATAGGCAATATCTACTATGACCGATACATATAAAATGTTGAATGTCCCATTTTTACAGTAATGTCTGCTCGAAGCAAAATTATTGACTGTACAGATTAATGTCGGATTATGATTGGGTGTCGTAGACATTATTCTTTTGACAAAGGCAGCGAAATGAATATGCTTTAAACTTATCCAATCTTTTCTTTCCTGTATAATGAATCGGTTAGTGTTTGCTGCATCAGACAGTGCGGGACAATGAGCAATCCAGCTTTTTTCACGTGAGGTCATTCATGTCATGACCAGTATTGATGCATTTCCATTCAAATTGACAATTAACTTCGTGAATGCCACATAACTTCGCTGACCTAGTTAGATGCCCACAATGACTAAAAGAAGGGCAAATGACGATTACGATAACGCCGATGTCCAGATGCAGAAAGTTTGAACATGTCGACAAAACAAAATATTTCATGTAGTTGAAAATACTCATAAATCGTGGGTGATAGAAGTAAAGATACATAGACATGCAGATAAACATATGATACTTTTAATTCAGATTAAAATAGACCAAATACAGTTGTACGAATACGTATGTTTTACGCGAATATGTTTCGAAAGACAACCAAATATTGCATATTTGGTTAATGATTAACTATTTGTAGTTAATGATAAGGTCTTCTGAATGTGTTCTGGACAATGCAAGATAAAAATCCATAAAGTTAAGTACAAACATGATAATTAAATATTGTCGGTCAAACTGTGATTTCAGTTATGAGCACTCATTTTTAAGCGGACTTGTTGTAACCCCCAATGTACACACGAGAAGGAATCCAGAGAGAAGAAAATTAAAATTAAAGAGGCCATACTTATCGTTGTCTTGCAATGGTGTCATGAATTTGTTTTTGCGTATCTGTTGACCGACTTAATTAGCTGATTATTAGCGAATTGCTGTGTTATGTCTGTCATCGTTTAGGCCATGTGAAGTTTTGGACGGAACTTGGCTCAGTGATTTGGAACTAATTACGAGATAACCGTCGCTATTCGGACTATTAATTCTGACAGTTGGTATTCGTAGTTATTAATGTAGTGAACGATTAATCAAAAGATATGACGTATTCAGTACTTAGTGTGATTGGCTTTATGATTGAAGGTTACGCCCTAGAGTCTTTTTACTGTTTTGTAATTGGTTAGAGTTTTGAAAATGAATAAAGAGAGTTTGAGTTGGTTTTGGCAAGTACTCTACGATAGACGCAGTCTAAGTCCAGTCCTGGGCGAGCCTTGAGGCAGTCCAGTCTTGGGCTAGTCTTGGGTCAGCCTTGCGATAGTCTTGGGGATTTTTCCCCAGGGCGCTGTGTCTTATAGAGTGCTCTATTGACCGACTAAGACGAGAGCTGAAACGTATTTCGCTGTGTGTGTCTTATTTGACTGTAAAGTATAAGTGACTTTGACTTTCCCGATCCCGCACCTCAAGGGGACGAGATATAGAGACAGAGACGAGATTCCCCCCTGGCAAGTGTGGAGAACCCGAGAGTAAGAGAATTACCCCCTGATAATGGACAGCGTGGTTAAATAAAACTTCTTTGTTAACATGCTACTGTTACGGTGGCTTCAACTTTATTGTGTACGAGACTAGTATTACAAGTCTGAGGTACGAGATACAAAGGTGTGAACTTACTAAACAAATATAACTGTAATGAAATAAATATTTAAGACATCTGGATACAAGAAATGAAAATGAACTCAAGAAAAGTAAAATAGCACTTGTGAGCCGTCGAAATGAATTTCGGCCATGTCCCATGAATCATTCGTGCAAAATACACCCATAGTCAATATACGTGAGTTGAAAATGTTAACAAAATCTCGGTTAGTAACCGTGACAACATGCTAAAATGATATTAATAGGAAAGCTCATCAAATTATGGAAATATATATTGGTTCTGTGTTAGACCAGTGACATACGTATTACCTGGTAATACTTCTGCACATAAATGAATACACGCCACTTTTACTAAATGAATAAGATGACTGGTTACCACTTGGTAAACACTTTTACTCTATGTTCTAAAAAAACGTCGTAATTTTCATTTGAAATGTATCATACCATATACATTTCAAGGTAAACTATGTTCTTGGTTACATGTATTAAACACTTGTGAGAAACCATGATTATGAGACTCAGTCCATAAGTAATTTATGTTCAATGTTTATTAAAATATATTCTAAAATATTGCAGCCAAGTTAGAAAGGTGTCACACATGGGTAAAAATGTGACTTTAAATACCATTGGGTTATCAAAGTAACAAGTACATAGACAATACCCCTGGTTTAATTCTCCAGATACACTTCATTCATTCTTATTACAATTCTTTGGTACCAATGATTAAAATCATTAAATTATGTCTAGCTTGTTGTGAAAATTAATTGTCCAATGTATTAATAGTTACCTCAAAACCAAGTAAGATATAGGCATGTCTTGCATACATAATTAATCGGACATGGACAAAACGTTATTTGTTCTTCCAACCACTTCTTCTCGTAACCGTGTTCCAACTGAAAAAAATACGACTATCGCATGTTAATGTGCTCTAGATTTGGATACCCGGTAACTATAGTAGATTAACACTGGATTTGTGCAACTATACACGTACTAAAACTAATTTGAACTACCGATATTTTTTTTTTATTTGAACTAGATTACTTGTATCCCTTTTCAAAAATCCATGGTTTACCGGTATTGTATTTATTTAGTTCCCTTGTACACTTCAAAATTCTGCATATGTACATTAAGCAGTCCAATACTATGGATTATAATCGGCACCTTCTGTTTATGAATGTTCTAACTAGGTCGGTCTAATTATACGGGTACTTCAATATTCACCAATTTAATTTGAATGGAAATGTTCATTGATCAATACAGTTCATGACATGAATGACCCCACGTGAAGAAAGTTGGATTGCTCATTGTCCCGCACTGTCTGATGCAACTAATTAAATAAAACACTAAATAAATCATCCAAGAAGGATTGAGTTGGTTTGAACTCATTTCACTGATGTCGTCGCATTTCATCTAGTTTGTTCACCATCATCACTCTTAAATTGAAACTCCTATAGCAGTGTGGTATGCATTACTATTGCATTACTACTTCTATTACCGGTATATACAGAACACCTCCCTCTGAATATTGTGATCACTGTGATGAATGATTATCTGTTGGTTAGACAATATTGGAGCACTAAAGCTAACTTGCACTTGACAGACACAATTTCATTATGTCTCATGACCAAACATATTTTTCATTGAAGTAATCACTCAAGGTCTTTTGTATGTGTATACTTTGTTGTTTGTATGGCTTCCCTTATTTATTTTTTAGAGTTTTGTTTGATAAAATTTCCCATGAACAAAATAAAACAGAAAGCCGTTATGATGATTACAGGAATTCTCTGTCGAAAATATAAAGAGGAAATGCAACTTTAAAATGTTATTGCTTTTTCACCAGTACACATTTTGAAAGACAGAATTTATTTAGAAGATGAAAATATAGTCATAGTAATTTCACACTCAAAAATAACATCAAAAGAAACACATGATACGAGTAAAGCCAAGCTTTTATTGAGAAACTATTTTATACAAATTATAAAATGAAATGGCTGCAGACATCATAGTAAAAGCATCTAATGAAAAAAAGCCTGACAGATATATTATCAACTAGGACATATAATTAAAATGGGTCCATCAATAGATTAAACAAATTCAAAAATAAAATCTGCCAATTTTAAGAAATATGTACAGCTATCCTTAACAATTATACATTTTTGAAAAGTTATTTTTCTGAATTCAATAAAAAAAAATAATGAGTATTGTTTACAAATCTCTGAAACAATAGAAATGCACATAAAAACAGTTAAATACTTTAACATGCTTTGTACAAAATAAACAAGAATAAATCTAGAATTCGGAAAATATACATCAAGTTTATTTTGGGGAAAAAAATGAAATATTTCGTTTGAGAAATTAATTTTTTTAAATATTGTTTCTATCTGTTCCATGTTAGTGATGTGAAGATATATGATTTATGTAAACAAGGAAGGAATTATACTGTAAATTCCTTTAATTTTTACAAGACAAATTGTCTTGAAATTGCTGATTTTTTTAGTAGTGAAATTTCCACTGGGGTTATTCTTCTCTCACCACAATATTTTGCACTTGTTTTATTTAGTTTTTATGAATTTTCTTTGTTAATTTGGGATCAAAGAGAAATAATTTTATGTTGTCTGCAGGGGTTGATCAACATTTTTGAAAAAAGAATTTGAATAGCATATTTGGTGAATTTTCAAATCAGGAAATATGTTTGCAGTCATTCTAGACTAGAACACTAGGTTAACGAAAATACTCAAGTACATACGAGATTAGATGTCATACGAGATCAGACACAGTCAAATGGTCCTTTTTTATTTAAAAAATAGGTCATCAAACCAAATATGCAGACAATTCAGGCAAACATTTTCAAACTCATTCAATCCAACTTTCAGGTAAAAGAACCATAGCTGTAAATTCTTCAGGTGGGGTAGTTTTCTATTATGCTTATGAACAAATAATTAATATATTAAATTTTAAGTTTACACCTATGTGCCTGGAATTATAAACAGAACTACATATGACCATTTGCAGCAAACTGTTGACCTTGTATTTTTCAATTAATTTATGTTAAAAATAGGAATGACAAGCAAGTATTTTGCTGTTACTTATCCATGCACAAGTATGGATGAGAACAAATGCAGACTATACAGCCATTGTAATGTAAAAATAATGTGAAATTGAACATTTGGCACTTTGTCAAAGTAGCTGCATTCTCACATATTTATGACATTAATTATTATACTAGTATAATGTATTGATCAAGTACAGAACTTTTATTTTTTATTTTTAGCGATTTAATTTCATCTCGTGACTTTATTTCAATCTGCAGCAAGCAAAACATACATGAAGATTATTTATTTTATTGTTGCTGATTTTACCAGTATGTAATTATTTACCATTCGATTGCATGTGTATTTCATATTATAAACATTTGTAATGCATACATGTGTGAGTGAAAAGGTATATAACCCATCATAGTGAAAGTACACAGAGAAACTTGTACATTTACAGGAACTCAACCCTGAAGGAGTACACAAAACCATAATTCAGATTAGTTGACAAGTTATTAAATCAAAGTCTAAGTGAATTACTGTACTACAGGAAAAATATCAGTTGCATCTTAGTAATAAAAGTCAGGTTGTGGAGTTCTGCTGAATAACGGTGGCTCTTTCTCAATACCATTAGACTCCAGTGCTAGAACAGGTGGTCCAAAGGGATCAACCTGGAAATAACAACACATTTTAAGACATGTAAGATCAAATGTTTGACAGAGACCAAATACAATGAGCTAAAGCATTAACTGAAATAATAAACTCACCTCAACTGAAGTGTTCTTATTAGTTGATATTATGATATCTGTAGCATGTGGGCCATCTTTCTTTCGTATACGACCCCACTCAGCTTTTCTCTCTATGTCTTGTTTATTACCTGGTGCAACAAAAACAATTTTATGATAAGTCTTGAAACACCCTGATCTTAATAGAGGTCAGAATGAGACCTAACACAAGATTAGGTAGAATGCAGAAAAACAATAATGATGTATCAAATTCCACTGAGATATTGCTTTCTAAATGTCTTAAGGAAATTTGTAGTGTAGAATGATCAATGATGCAAATATTCACTATTTTCGTAATATTTCATGCAATTCCTTTGCTTCGGATCTAATTGAAAATGAATTTCACAGAAAAAACATTGCCCACAAAATCAACATTAGACAGCTCCATTTGCTACACAATAGGACAGGGCCGTCAACAATTGTAATTTGAATATGGATTACAACGTTTCACAATATTCACCCATAAACCATAATTTGAATTTTCACCCTTAACATAACACATGAAAAAAATTGAAATACATTTTGTGCAGCACTGCGGTGACAATCACCAAATATTCCAAGGAAAATTAATAAAGTTTTCATTATCAGTTGTTGATCTAAAGTGTCTATTACTATGTCTTACCTCTAGTATCCTTAAATGGTTCTCCACAAGATACAGCTAAAAGTTGATCCTTCTCAATATCATCAAAATGTTGAATAAGCAGCCCATCACGACTGTACAGCTTTTTAGCAGGAAGACGAAGAGTCATTCTCTCAGTAGCACTGTCCAATAGTTCTTGAATGTTTTCTCCCCATGCATACAGAGCTCTCTCAGCATTACCACCATTGACATAGACATAAACACGTTTCTGAAATCACACAGAATGTCATGATTTTCAAAACATCAAATGTACAACTAAAACCATTCAAATGTTTATGACCTGTTCACAACAGAAGAACCCAGTGCTATGTTTTTACAGTCTTATGCATAAGTGGAAGTTAACAGATTGCACATGGTAGAGCAATGCCAAAAATAAATCTACAATTAGTGTGCATTTCTGACCAAACTACCTTCTTATGTTGACAACTGTCAATTTCCTTACAATCTCTCTATTCCTTTAAAAATAAAGTAATGCAATTTAATCCAGGAAAAGAATTCCTCATACCTAACCAGTAAACAAATGACACAGAATTCTGCAACACTATAAATACCTTACATACACACAAAATCCAAGCTACATAGCTATGCATAGTATTCCAGCAATAAATGTGTCAATAGGTTGACATCCACTAAAAGTATTGGTTTCCTGTACTCACCATGTTTGATTGCTTATACAAATTCTGGGTCACGTAATCATCACTTGCTCGGGTTACATTGGGATCCACCTTTCTCTGATGTTCCTTCATTTCATGCAAGTGATTCTGAAATATGGAAAACAGAAATTTACAACTCTCAATATTTTATTCTGATAATGTACAGAAAAGAGTTGATTGACTGTTTGATTTCTGGACTGCACTATTGTTACTGAAGGGAAGGCAGCTATGAGGGATTCATTAGATGAATGGAAGAATAAAAGTTTGCCACTGTAATAAGAAGTAACAATAAGTCCTGAATTTGACAGAAGTTGTTGTACCTCTAGCATTTGTACTTGTGCTGCTTTCTTATTTTCTTGATAAGATGGCTGAGTCCAACCTCCTTCTACTGATACTGGATTTTCAGTATCCATTGTTGGTATCAGCTCTGGGTATGTCATACTGTGTGTACGACGCCCTATAAAAAATGGAAAGAAGGCTGCAATTTATAACATGGTAATGTATTATGCTACAATCTTTATTGTGTTGATTGACAAAAATGACATTTTTACCTCAAATATGCCTCACAGGGTATAAGAAAGACTTTTTTTTAGGCAAAAAGCAATCCTACAGACTTAACTACCCTTTCATCTAAAATAATATGTTCGTCATTTTGTTACAGGGTTTGAATTATCAGTATTCTGAGAAAGCAAATTTTAAGAACAGGACTTCTGACAATGATGGGAGAGTTTGCCAGCCACCCATACATTTATGTCAGTCAATGACAATTCCTGTTTTTAGTGACTGTCAACATTAGTGCTAAATTTTCATTTGTGCTCATGTGACAGACATGACAGAAAGTGGAGCCTGTTTATTTTTATGATTCTTTCTTTTATTCCACCCATGACGTTCATAATGCATTTCTAGCACGAAAATGATGATCAGCCATCTTGAACCAGATTCATGATATATGTGTAAACTTTTAACATGATTAGTTCAGTCATGTTTAAATAGCAGTATGGATCCAAAACCAGTATTAGTTGAAAAACAAATGGTCATCATTCAGCTATTTTGAATAAAATCTGGGGGGAAAATGATGAGCATCAAGAAACCATTATGTTCAATGGACATACCAATTTTGAATGAAATATGTCCATGCATGACCAAGATCTAGTTCCCGAATAGCAGAAATGCTTGATTTTAATAATTTTTTTAGCACTAAAATGGCTATCTTGAATTGAATCACGAAACAAATGCATATGTATGTATGATATGATGTGTGTGTGACGTTTGAATAAAACTGGCTCAAGCATACAGATATAGGTGTGGAAGCATGGATGCAGAGGTGAAAGGTCCAAATGGGGACTAAAAATGATGAAAAGTAAGGGTACACTGAATGCATATAATGTTTTACCTTGCATCTGTCTGAGTACATGCTTTTCTTTGTCCAGTTCAACACTGACACCAGTTCTTTCCTCTCTGTGCTGTGAGCTTACAGCTCGTAGTTTATCAACAGCTGGAAAGAAAGAGTGAAAACAATTAGAGAAGGCAATGATGAAACAAACGCTTTATACTGAACATTATAATGCAATACAAAAATGCTTATCAGTCTTACTTTTTGGCTTGACAAACGGTTCACCACTGGATACCCACACTTCTATTGGTTGTCTGAGTAGAGCATGAAGATTGATTTCAGTCCTCAGATCAGAGGCACTTCCAAAACTTCCTCTGCGTTGCAAGCTGCCACTACTAGGTCTTGCATTCCTGTGTTCTCTGTTTGGCTTGACTACAAAAGACAGTAATTCTGAGTGAAACTAAAATCTTTTTACTGCAACATTATATAGACAGATTCATACCTTGCAGAATCAATGATCAAACTGCCATTCAGGGTATAATTGAGTGAAAAGAGACTCAGTGTACCTACAACACCTGTGTACTCAGTGTTACTAATGGTGAACTGTGCTACATGTAGTACATTGTGACTGGATGAATATACCGCATACATGTGTGATGTTGCAAAACACGCTGCACTTTATGTACCAACAACATTGTCATCATTATTGTTTCTCATTAAAACCAACTGATTTTACTTGCCAACTTTGGCTCAGAGCAGTAGAATGAAGTCACTATAATAATATAATGCCCCAAAGAAAACAAAACCTTTGATAAACTTACCTCCTTGACTGTTTTGTGTCTCTACATCTGCTTCAGTTTGGTTTTTTATTTGATGCTACTGACTGGCAATCCATGGCCCACTGAATCAAATCATCCTTGGATAATATCAATTTACCATCTTCTGTGTACAGACGACGTGCAGCAGAATTCAAGCCAAGGCGATACGTGCACTGGTCTAACAACTAAAATATAATGCATATTATTATTAATCTGACAGCAAACAGATGCACCCAGTTGTGTTTCAGGTATCTTCTTTATTTTTACGTCACATTCAAACACATGAAAACAATGATACAGGCATGACATTTTATAAAAGATGTATACTAATAAGGTTGGCATAAGAATGATGCAAAGTCTTGCACTCGGGCAGGTCAGGATGGCATCAACCTATGCTATGTGCCAATCAATATGACCACCATACTGCCTTCCCGGTTGAATTTGCAGTATGCTTGAGATACCAGATTAGAGACATTAAAGTAATGCATTTACCCCAGTGATGCTTGATCCAACAATCAGTTCAGGTGGCTGTGTACGTCCCTCACCATTCTTAAAAGCTAGAATACGTACAGACAGTATAGGCTGATACGCTGATAGTTCCTTTGCGATGGTTCTTGCATTAGAGACAGTACGTAGCCTTATCAGTTCTTCCTGCCAGTGTCTGAGAGTGTTTTCAGCTTCATACGTGGATAAATCAACCTAAACAGAGAGCATAACACAAGATTTATCTCAATCTTGATGACTGCAATGACTTACACACATTGAAACACCAAAGCACAGACAAATTGACACATTTATTCCTTAGTTTCTATTGGTTTTCACGCAAGAGAAAATAAATGCACCCATACCTTTCCATTAAGACACTGAAAACATCCACGTAGATTCCTAATGCCTCTTTCCTTAGCTGTGCCAACTGCACAAGAAAACTCAACTTGTCTCTCTAACTTCTCTAATTTCTGGTAGCCCCTCATGGCACGAGCACAGGCTACACATACTATGGTGGGATCTGAATCACGGTTTGAAAGACAGACTGTATATCCCTGTCATAAGAAAAGCAAGGTCATAAGTAATGCAGAGTCAAGAATGTTAAAATCAGCATGTTTCTCAAAGAACAGACCCTCAACAAGTAACAAACATATCAACAGCACAGAGTAAATTAAAACAATTCATAACATATGACTACTGTATTTACACTATTAAAAGCACATCTGAAATAGAAGCACATTAAACCAAACATTGTATTTGTTATATACTGAATGAATAAAGTATTAATTATTTTGACCATGGGAATACCTTGATAGTTTGTACATGCGCTACTAATAGAGCAAATACAGTACTTACTGGCTGTTCAGCTGACTTGTGTCCTAATACTGCAAATGTGCAAACATTAGATTTATTGGCTGCTGTTACCTCTGTAAAATATAACATTTATTAAAATCATATCAAACAATGCAGTTCTTTTTGTTAAATTGAAAATGAAATGCAATAATATAGAATAATTTAGAATTAAATATTGCATTCAAACATAAGCCTTATGAATATGTAATAGAAAGATAATGATAATGTAATAGAAAGAAAAACAAGCAGCCTATCGGCAATGCACATTTCAATTAAAGAACTGAAGACATCATTAGAAAATGAACAATATGAATAGTATCAAAGGAATCGGACTTAGTTTTTAACAAGAAGTCGAAAATATCACTTTTTACCGAAAATTACAAAAATATTCACCAAAATAAATTAATTAGAGAATTGAAGATATCATCACAAAATGAACAAATCTGAGAGGTCCACATGTAGTACCTATATATGCGATTGGACTTGCGGTTTTTAACAAGAAGTCGAAAATATCACTTTTTACCAAAAATGACAAAAATATTCACCAAAATTAGAGAATTAAAGATATCATTACAAAATGAACAAATCTGAGAGAGGTCCACATATAGTACCTATATATGTACTATCAAAGCAATTGCACTTGCGGTTTTT